GTAGTTGTAAACAGCATGATAATATATTAAGTAATCCAAAGTATTCAGAATATGTTACTCTCATTGAGTAACGTAACGGAATACATTACAGAATACATTTTGGGGCATGTATTCTGTAATCTGTAATGGAATACATTTTAAAAGTAACCTTCCCAACACTGCATACACACACACACACACATGCTTCCAGTTTAGGTGCCTAACCCTTCCATTACCACTGGGACCATTATAGACTAGAACATCTGCTCCAGTTGATCCTTCAGCCCCTGATTCTGGTACTAATGATGCATCTGGATAATGTAGTGAAAATATTACTGTTTTTGGAATAAACCAGGTGTTTGAATCCTGATCAGGGTGTGAATCTAGCAAGTATCCACAGTGCTACTCAAGTATACCTTGGAAAATAAGTAAACATACAGCTAACATCACCCAGTCTGCTTCTTAGAGCATGTGCTTACCCTGAGAACTGAAAGCACATTTTACTACAATTCTCATTCATCCAAACATGCACAACAGGAACCTTTCTATACACACCTTGTCTGACATTCACACACACACCTACACTATGATCTAGGATATTTTGACATGGAGACTGGAGAAGCAGAGGAGTGACCCACCAACCTCCTCTACCTCCTGAGCCAGATGAGCCTACATGTTGGAGAACCTTGACCGTAGTTATGAGCAGTGAGCTGTTTTTATGTGTTCACAATAATAGACAAAGATATCCTGTTTACAGCGGTACATGCTCATTTTTCACATGTCAAATTATAAGGTCAGCATATGTTTAAGTAACCCAGTCAGCCTTCTGAGTGCTCCATGCACACAGGTTCATTTAGTTTTGGGGGTTTTTTTTTATTCTTGACTCTTTATGATGTCAAAGAGAGCCAATACTCATAGTATGACCAGACCTGCTACACATGTGTGGCTGTGAGCACTCTCAAACCTTTTTGTGAGAGACAGGCAGTAAACGCTGTTTTAAAGCAGGAGCTGCACCAAAGCAGCGTTAAATATAAATAAGGAACCCTTTGAACTGCAAATCACTCAAATATGTTAATGTAACACAGGATTATGTTAAGTACTCAAATGCTCCCTGGACAGCACTGCACATGAAAATATGATTTTGACCTTTTTCAGATTAGTCCTCTTTATGGCCAAGCTGAGCCATTACAGGCTGTAAATAAAATGTAATGTCCACATGTTCGGTCTCTTTATACTTAATCTTTTCTATCCATAGCATCCAGTATGGAGGCAGTCTGTGTGACTGATAGATGACTGTACTCTTGGCTCAGTTACATTAAAGTGATGGACTTTGACACAACCTGAAAATAAAGAGCCTTGGCCTTATAGCCTGAGAGATTGTGCAAAAGGGGAGAAGAGTTACAACCATACTGAGCCACAAAAAGAGAAAGGGAGAGTGGAGTTATAGCTATATGCTCGGGAAAAGTGAGCATTTTCAGCTGTTACAAAAAAGAAAAACAGTTTGTCTTGTCATTATTTAGTCCAGCAATTTCTCCAAAGAAAAACAAAAAGATGTGAAGTAGTGGATCTGAAGGGAAAGGTGAGTGACACCTCTAATGGTAGAGGTAGTCCTCTCCTCAGGTTGGGGATCAGACGGTCTGTCTGGCACTTGACAGCTGACACTGAACACACCCTTATTAAAAAATAAAGATACGCTCGCACACTCCACACAGGTGCGCTGTCACATCCATGCAGACGAGCATGACACAGATCGCACGCCGCTCTCGCATGGCCGTACGAGACAAGACATCGAATGCCGCGTAGCCTGGACACATGATGTTCGCTCAGCTCACGCACGCATGCGAGCACATGGATGTACACAAGCCCCTTTGGAAGCTGACACCATTTTGAGCAGTCAGGGAGGAAAGTCACATCAATGATTCCGATCACCAGGCTTTACCAAGGCAGTTAGCCGCGAACACGATCCAGCTGGGCCATTTAGACAGAAACCCACGACAGAGGGAGCAGACGGGCCGAGAGAAACCGACACTGATCAAATAGGCTCATTTTTCTCCAGGCCGCTCAGGGCTCGGTGGAGCTTTACTTCAATAATCATACATCAGACTGGGGATAGATAACCATGCTGGACCACAACAGCTCTGAAATGAAAAGATGTAGGTGTCAGCTGTAATATTTTACAGCTTGTTATCTGTGTGAACTCTTATTATGAAGCAGCGCCTGCTTGTCTCCTCTGGCCACATGTTACTCTTTTCTTTCCTTTCTTAGAAAAATATCATCTTAAGGGGCTGTGCAATTATCCAACCAACCTTTGATCATTTATTCGCCTTCGACCTGTCAGGGTTCCTGGGTCGGTGACCCAGTGTTTTCAGTTTTGTCACATTTAGGTTATGTTGCCACATCAATGTTCTCACTTCCTGCTTTTCCTGTGTCAGCTTGTCTCTTGTGTTATTAGCCAGATTATGTTCAGCTGTGTACTCACCGGTCTCTCATTATCATCCTCATCAGTCTGTGTATTTAAGTCCTCTGTTTCCACTCATTCGCTGTCGTGTCATTGATGTTGTTCCTGTCGCGTGTTCAGTCCAGTCAGCCAGTTAGTCTACCAGTCCATTAAGTTCAGTCAGCCGTCCTGTCATCTTTTGTCTCCGTTTCCAATAAACCTCATTCTGCACCCAGAGTCCTGCGTGTGGGTCATCTCTTCCTCGCCTCCGCACACGACCCCTGACACAACCTACTCGTAGCAGTCCTGACTCCAGGTTGGAAACCAGTTGGGCATTTGTAAATATGCTTTTTAGGCTAGATTTTAGATTTCAAGCCTTTTTTTCCCCCCACAGCAGTGAAATAAAGGTCACTTGTCTTAAATACAGTTTTAATTAAAGTAACAATCTTATTCTTGTTTTCCTATATTTGATTAAAAAAAATTTACACTACTAGAATAACTTGAAATTGGGTTTCTTGGAGAATAAACTTTTTAGGATGAATAACAGATTTATCAGACAGTAGCTCTGAACGCAGATGGAAAACAATGAGAGACCAAAAAACAAAGAAATAGTTACTGTGCTTGCAATTTTTTCCCCATTATTTTTAAATAAAAAGGATTAAATTTACTAATTTAAAGTTTTAAAGGTGTTGGTGTTTATGCTGATCAAACTGGCTCCTGAAAATTAATATTTACCCTATTAACCCTTGGTTCTTTTTAAACCAAGATTAAGGTTCTTCATTGATTGCAATAAATAAAGTAAATCAAAGAACTCTGACTCTCTTGATCTCTGGTTTCATGTTCATACCAGATTGGGTTAATTCCGTTTAAGATTGTTGAAAGTGGCATTTTATGCTCCTCACTTCATGTTTTCAGAAGAAACAAAAAATTTACGCTACATTTTAGACTCCTGACCGCAGTCACCTTTGACAAAACACAACCAGCTATTTCTTATATGCATGTTTAAGCTCCTGCTGTGGTTTAACTATGCTACTAGCTCAAATGAGGAAGTCCTGCCCTAAACCCTTAACCTTTGACCTGACATATGTTGGATAGCGATAGTGTTTTTGGGGTGAAACAGTCTTCCGTAAGAAAGATTACAGGGCATTATTGCTTCATTTGAATTTGGATACCTGACAAGATATTTGTACAAACTAAAATATAATTTAGGGTTGTTGTTTTTGAGCTGAGCTGCAGCCAGTTTAACTACAGTTGGATTGATGAAGTCCATACCTCTATGTGACCCCTTAACGAAGGAGCCTTTGACCTAATTTGACTTTTGAACTATTTCCATCTCTGACACCTGTCACATAGCTTTGCATTACACCTTTGCTTCACTCATCTCCCATTTGAAAGTGAACTTTTGAATGACACTAATGGGATGTGACAGTCAACATCCTGTCAACTTCCTTCCAACTGTAAGACAACAAAACGTGTGGCATGTGGATAAGGGAGTGTGTGGCTGCCTGACCAAATTAAAATCTGACTATGCCGGAAAAAATTAATAACTACGCGCGCGCACAATCCAATTTGAATGCATTATGTTGTCAACAAGCCGCTGGGGGAAAAGACAAGGGAGAAATTAGCCAGTGGACCACATGAGATAAGGCCTGTTAAATTTGTGCATGGCTAAGAGGCTGCTTTCAGACAAGATTATGATTGAGTTGTTTTCATTATTATTATTATTATTATTATTATTATTATTATTTTATGGGGGGGCACAAACAGTTTTTCTTCTTTGAGTTTCACCGGATGGTCGGACGGTTTGCTCTCTGGACGTCTGGTTTTCTAAAGAGGGCAACACCTGCTGACGTCACCACTACAAATTGCCCATAGCCAACACACACACACACACACACACCACACACACACCACAAACTGGACTTTTGTGTGTGCAGAGCTGCAGTATACGCGCGGATGGAGAGTCAGAAAGGGAGGGCGCACAGAGCGAGACAGCATCAGTACAGCGCGGCAGTGAGCCACGGTCACACAGGGCTGAGTGAGCGCAGTGGAAGGACGCACTTTCAGTTGCACTCCTGAGGGAAAAACACGACTTGCCTGCTGGACGGTGGCGCACATCACTCAGACAAACACAGTCAAGGACACATGTGAGCCGAGTGCGTCTCCACGGAGAACATTTCGCGGACTCTGCGTTCAGGATTCAGGGATTTGTTTTTTTTTTTTTTTTTTTTTTTTTTTTTGCGTAAGTCATGGTATTTGTTTGGAAACTAAATAAACAATGCTCTCCGGTGGAGTCGACTAATTCACAAAGATGAGACTCGGAGGGGACGATCGACAACATCCAATGGTTCTTTGGTCTCCTCAAGTGGGACAAAGTCCAATAAGCTGCACAAGTCTCACCCACTGAGCCTGAGAAGCGGTCACCTTCTGAAATGATGTCTGGTGGCGACGTGCGTGGTGCGCCAGCGTGCGTGTGAGTGACTGACCGATAGCCTTTCTGAGAAAGAGAGAAAGAGCCTGGATATAAGCAGCAGCCGGGATTTCAGGCAGCGACAGCCAGACACTCACCGGCTCTCTCCCAGCTACTCACACCCATGCAGGATGCCCGGAGAGCGCCGGAGAGTCCTGGTCCAGCTCAGCCCGAGTTCATGACGCTCTGGGCGGCCTCGTCATGCGTCTCTTGCCCGAGCCCAGTGCCCAGTCCCTCCGACTCCTCTTCCTCTTTATCTTCGTGATGGGGGTGGCCCCTTCACCGGCTCTCACTGCCGGTTGCCCTGATAGATGCGTGTGTGACGACCAGCTGGTGGTCCAGTGCGCTGGCCAGGATCTTACCCAGTTTCCCAATGACCTCCCCCTGGCCACCCGGCAGCTCATAATCTCGAACAACCGCATCGGGGACCTACCGGCGCTGCAGCTCAACTACCTTTCCGATCTGGTCTATCTGGATTGTAGCAACAACTCACTGACAGAAATCTCCGAGTCCACTTTCGGGAACTTGAGGAAACTCGCTTATCTGGACTTGTCATTCAACAACCTGCTGCAGATCGAGGACCGGACTTTCGGGCCCCTAGCGTCTCTGGTGATGCTCCGGCTGACGGATAACCCGAGTCTGGGGGAGATCCACCCGGATGCCTTTGCAGAGAACATGGCTCTGCAGGTGCTCGATGTGAGCCGGAACAACCTGACGACCCTCAACATTAGCAGCCTGATCGCCCTGCCTGCTCTGAGGTCTCTGGGGCTCAGCGGCAACCCATGGAGATGCGACTGTGACACAGAGGACCTCTGCCTTTGGCTGCAGATAGAGGGATACAAGTTCCAAGGTGAGGTTGTATGTATACACAAACGGGCATTTATGATGGTTTTAAACACTTAAAAAATGATAATGTATTTTTTACTTTTATATGGAACATAGCACAACACATAAATTGGTCCATATATGCATGTTTATTTTTCAGTTGGCAGCAGTCTTTTGTGAGGTGATCACTGTGCGTTTGGCTGCTCTTTCCTGGAAAAGAAACTATTCTTACTTTTAAGACCTTGCGCTAAAGGTTTCATCATTTGTGGATGGCTTAGCTTCTGATAAGGGGCCACTTATTGCACTGTTGCTCTCCTTTTATTCTGATATGTATACACACATATTTCCAACCTCCCCCAGGTGTGCACAGATGCACAGTCAGATGCTCTTTCTCTTTCTGAAAAGCACACACTCACAGAGAGAGAGAGAGGCTCCAGAGCTAAGAGTTTGACCCCAGGGTCAGAGCAATCTGAAGATTTTGTTCCCCTGCTGATCTCTGCAACACAGTCCCTCCAAACTGCCCTTCACGTCTCAATAATACCTTGAGTTTACCCCAACAAATAAGTAGCCTCGTGTTGTTCTTACCTGGAAGGCATCAGCACCTCGGCTGTAAAATCCCTTAAACATAGAGGAAGAATGGCCCACGAAGAATTTGTGGACTTGTGACCTTCTCAGAGAGGACAAGCTCAGGTGATCTTTGCTCATAAAGGTTAATTGAGCTTAACTGTAAGCAGGTGAATTGGGTTATCGCTCGGGACAATGGATTGATGGTGTTCATCCCATCAATGTCACCGCTTTGTTTATCTGAGTCCTGAAGGTAGAGATAATGCTAAGAGGATGATTGTGTCCTTTTGTACCTTTTTTTTTTTTACCAGCCTCTCCTGCTTGCACACACACACACAGACACACACACATAGACTTTAATGAACACACATGCAAACAAAGTGCCCACTTGGGTGTACTGGAGCCCACATTGTTGTATCTGTTGGGCCCCTCAGTCCAGATGGTTAATGATGATGGTCTAAAAAATTGGCTTCCTGTGCTCTTACTAAGGACAACACGTACATGTGTGAAGTGTGTGTGTTTGTCTGTGAGAGAGAGAGTGACTCACCCCACTTAGTGTGGAAGCTAGAGGTTAAGGGGGACCCTCAGGCCAGGACCCATGGGAAATTTAAGTATTAAGGGACACTGAGCTTTAGAGGAAGGCCACATAAAGACAACAAGTACCCAAAGTTGTTATCCACCTTCAGACATGCAGTTACTAAGAAAATCAGAAAACATTTTCTAACCCAAGAGCTTCTGAACTGTAAGTGACACAATCCAACACCCACAGCTGAGCCACTCTGCCTTATAAACACTCACATCTGTAACAGTTAATAATTATGAAATGACACTCATTCATCATCACCCCGCTCTATAAAAGTTAGAAACGTGATCAGTGGAGTTCAGACTTTGTTCATTGAGAAACACATATCGCACACCCTCCATCGCTCAGGCTGACAAATCAAGTATGAACGTGGCATTCATAAACAAACACGTAACCAGTTTAACGAAGTGAACGGGGTCAAGCGAGCACGTGTGTGTGTTAGAGCATGTAGTTGTGTTTCTGTGGTCGTGAATGCCTCCTGCTCACACTGCGGGGCTGTGAGTCTAAAGCACAGAGACTCCAGCTGTCGCTACCTCTCAGTGTGAATATGAATCAGGTGCATGCAAGTGTGTATGCTTGTGAGAGTTCATCTTCAGACAGACACAATAACTAATTCAGGATTGTTTTCAGTTTTGCTGCTGCTGATGTTTAAGGTTATAATACCTGGATTCAAACCAAATTTAGTTTGGTTTGATTGTTTTTGTGTTTCTGTTACAGATATTGTGTTTTTTGTCATTGTTAGGTATTTACATGCCCGTCATTTTTAAGAAAGTCACTCAGTTTGTCTTTTTGTTTGTGCTGGGTATGTGTGACTGACAAAAGCTGACATGACTTGACTCTGGCAGCCATAAAGAAAGAGAGACAACAAGAGAGAGAGCGACAGAGTGATTGAACGAAGAGACACAAAGACAGAGTGGATGTGTTTCTTTAGTAAAGTCACGAAAAAAGCAAAAAGACAAACCGTCAGGAAAGTCTCTGTCACAGAGAACGAGTCTGAGCTAGGGGTGCAAGCAGTCGGGTTTTATGGTTGATGTTGTAAAGTTCTCCCTGGTCAAGAAAGACTTCGAAAAAAATAATGTTAGATAAAATGATATTTTCAGAAAGGGAAGCTTAATGTGATTGTGAAACAGTTAATGTTATTAAAAAGGGTCTAAAATTAACCAAGAGAAAAGAAGTAAAGATACTTTTAGTTAATGATGTATAATATTTAGACTCTAAATTGAAGGAGTTCTGTCGTAATGGCGCTAGGCGTGGGGTTTGGCGGTGGGGGTTTCAGTTACAAGAGAAGAAGTCCAACAGCACCACCTGCAGATTTGCACCCAGGGAAATACTAATCTAATAAACCTTAATTATTTTGCAAATTGGTAGTTAAAGCACAGAGACTCATTAGTGGCAAGGCAGAAGTGTGACAGATTAATTTCAATAGTTTATTTGACAAATCAGTCGCAGTGAGACACATTTGGTGAGTCGCTGGTTGCAACCCTGAGCGAGCCTTTCTCAGTGTAGATTGTCTCCCCAAGTGGCCCCCAGCTAGTTGTATTAATTAGTTATTTTGCCTGGAGTGGTACTTTAATATGTTTTTTTTTT